ATAGGTGCCCTCTTATTCCATCTGCTTAGGGTAGTGAGAGCTTATAAATAATCAGGGAATTTACTAATCCCTTAGCACTCTTTTGTATTTCTCATAGAGAAAGAAGAATTTGAAAGAAAGATTGTTTCCCACTCTTGTCATAAAAGTGTGTGAAGAGAGCTCCCTTCAAACTTCTCCAGACTGACTCCTATGGGCATGTGTCTTGTGGAGTGGCTCATCCTGCCTTGTTTTTTTCCTGAACACGGTGCGTGATAAAACAGAAGCATTCAGAGTTCTACCCATGTAAGAGAAACCCCCCATAAATGCTATTGTCCATATTTTGAGGCTTGGTAAATATAAAACACTAGTGTAATTCTATCCATATAGAATCAATTAAATATGTAACATCAGACTATGTAACTATGAGGCAGTTATTTTGAACATCTTCTCTAGTACTTCAGTATATCTTTAAGTAAACTAGAAAATAAGATTAGTAAATTTACAGACATAACCATAGAAATTAACCAAAATAAAACAGAAGAGAAAAAAGACAGGAGGAAAAAATGATCACAGCATCAGTAGGCTGTAAGACAGTTACAAGCAGCTTAATACACACGTACCTGGAGTCTCTGAAGGCCAGCAGAAAGAGAAGGGGTGACAGTAAATATATGTGAATATATAATGGATAAAAGTTTTCCACACTCATTAAAACTACAAACTCTCAGGTATATACAAGAAGCTCAGAAGCCACAAACACAAGTAAAAAAGAAAAACCACATCATGACCAAATCACTTAAAACCAATGATGAAAAGCAAATCCTAAAAGCTGCCAAAGGGAAACAAAATGTGCAGATAAAACAGATAACACAGCAAAGAACAATATGAGGGATAATAAAAGTCACTTCATAATGATAAGAGAGTCATCAAGAGGATATAACAATCTTGACTGTTTATACACCTAACAACAGAGTCTCAAAATACATGAAGCAAGAAACAGAGAACTATAAGAAGAAACAGAGAAACCCACAATTACAGTGAGAGATTTCAAATGCCCCATATCAATAATTGATAGAACAAGTAGACAAAAAATCAGTAGAAACATTAAAAATCTGAATAACAATATTAACCAACTGTACCAAGTTGACAAACAGACCACTCCAACCAATAATAGAACACACAGTCTTACCAAATATACATGAAGAATCAAGATATGCTATACTATGGGATATATAACATGTACATAAATATAAAGAAATAAAGTCATAAAAAGAATATTTTCAGACCAAAATGGAAGTAAATTATGAATAAAAAATAGAATATCTCAAGAAAAATGCCATAACTTTAGAAAATTAAATAACACAATTCTAAATAACCTATAGATCAAAGAATAACGCAAGGAAATAAGAAAATATTTTGAACTGAGTGAATATGAAGACACAATAGTATATGAAAAGGATAAAATGTTGCAAAAGGGTACTTAGGGACATTCATAGCACTAAATGCCTGCATTAGGAAAGGAAATAAGATACTTTTCAAATCAATGATCTGAGCTTCCACATCAAGAAAATAGAATAATTGGTACAAACTAAGCTTAAACATTCAGAAGGAAATAATAAAGACTAAAGCATAAGTCTATTAAATAGAAAGCAAAAAAATAGGGGGGGGGGGAATAAGTGTTAGTGAGGAAGTGGATAAAAGGGAACCCTCATGCACTCTTGGTGGGATAAATTTATGCAGCCACAGTGAAAAACAGTATGAAGGTTCCTAAAAAATAAAATAAAATAAAATAAAATAAAATAAAATAAAGGACAACATATGACCCAGCAATCCCACTTCTGGGTATTTATCTGAAGAAATCAAACACACTAATTTCAAAAGATATGTACCCCTATATTCACTACAGCATTATTTACAATAACCAACATATAGAAGCAACCCTATGTGTACATAAATAGATGAATTGATAAAGAACATGCAATGTATTTATACAATGAATATTACTCAGCCATAAAAAAGAATAAAATCTTGCCATTTATGACAACATGAATAGACCTAGAGAATATTATGCTAAATGAAATTAGAGAAAAGCTTATACTATATGATTTCACTTATATGCAGAAACATAAAACAAAACAGACTCAAAAACATAGAAAATAAACTAATGACTGCCTGAGGGAAGTGGGGTGATGGGCAAAACAGGTGAAGGGGATTAAAGGTACTAACTTCCAGTTATAAAATAAATATGTCACAGGGAATATAGTCAATAATATTACAATAACTTTAAATGGTAACAGATAATCACTACTCATGACAATTCATTCACAAGGTATATAAATGTTGAATCACTAAGTCATACACCTGAAAGTAATATATTGTATGTCAAAGTATACTTAAATTTTTTAAATAAATAAATAAATCTAGTACTAAGGCAATCAATCAATCCAATTATGCTGTAGAATGATAACCCCCCCACACACACACACAAAAGCAAAACCAAAAGCTGACATTTGAGAATATTAATAAAATCAATAGGCTTCTAGCCAAAATGATTACGAAAAAGAGAGAGAAGACACAAAATACCAATATCAAGAATGAAAAAGGAAATGTCAGCACAAATTCTGCAAATATAAAAAGGTGAATTAGGGGATATTATAAACAACAATACCAATAAATTCAACAACTTAAATGAAATGGACGAATTCCTTGAAAGTAGTAACCTACTAAAATTCAAACGAAAAGAAACAGATAAACCAAATAGCCCTAAATCAACTAAAGAAACTGAATTTAAAGTTTTAAAACCTTCAGAAATAAATTCTACCAATATTTCAGAAATATGAGCTGTAGAACACAAATCTTTCTAAAAAATTGAATAGGAGGTAATCAATCAGAGGACAGCAAAATAAAAATGAGATAACGATATTACAAGAAACAAAGAAAAAGACAGATGACATTTACAAACAAGTCCTAGCTGGTCTGGCTCAGTGAATAGAGCGTCAGCCTGTGGACCGAAGGGTCCCAGGTTAGATTCCAGTCAAGGGCACGTGCCTGGGTTGCCAACTTGATCCCCAATAGGGGACATTCTCATTATGGATGTTTCTATATCTCCATTCCTCTCCCTTCCTCTCTGAAAATATATCAATAAAAATATATTTTAAAGAAACAATGTAACCATCAAAAGCATTTTTAAAAAATTATAAACAAAAACTTAGCCAACCATATTCAACAATCTAAAAAATGATAATGCAGCATAGGCAAGAGGCACTATCATTCCAGGAATGTGAGGCTGTTGTAATATTTGAAACGTGAAAATCAATCAAAATAATTCACCGTATTAAATCAAAAAGAAGAAAAAATGTCATCTCAATCGATACAAAGAAAGCATTTGACAAAAATCCATCATCCATTATAAAGAATGAATAGAAAGGAATTTCTTCAACCTAATCAAAAAAAATATTTGAATACTACAGCTAACATCATATTTAATGATGCCAGACTTTCCCCCAAGTTCAGGAACAAGGCAAACATCTTTGCTCTTTCTGCTTCTACTCAACATTATACTAGAGGTGCTAGCTAGGGCAATCAACAAGTAAAAGAAATCATAATGAAAAGGAAAAATAAAACTCTTTATTCACAGACAACATGATCCTGTAATTCTTTTGTGAAATCATCTACTTTTATAAGGATGATGTGATGGCAAACTTTTCCAACATTTACAGGCGTATGTCAGAACCCTAGTCCAGATACAAACTATATTTATTCACAAAATTGTTTGATGGCAAAACCATGTGTTTAAAACCAACTAAGATGTTCAGAACTCAAGCTATAATAGAAAAGTAAAACCTCTGTACTTTCATTTACTTTAAAAATAACAAGAGAATATACAAGTAAAAGACAAAGAAAAATACATTAATAAAAGAGAATGGTACATTAAATAGTAAAAAGAAAATGGAGTTTCTAGTAAGGCTTACATATTTAGCCAGAAAGGAAAAAAAAAATGTTTTTATTGATTGCAGAGAAAAAGAGAGAGGAACAGAGAGATAGAAACATCAATGATGAGAATCATTGATCGGCTGCCTCCTGCACGCCTTCTACCGAGCCCGCAACACAGGCATGTGCCCTTGATGGGTATCAAAACTGGGGACCTTTCAGTCCCAGGCCACTGCTCTAACCACTGAGCAAAGCCAAACCAGTTAGGTGCCAGAAAGAAAATTTTAACTTTTATAATTTCAACTTTTATAATTTAAAAAAAAAACAAAATATGAAAACTGTTTAGCTACAATTCAAGACTATAACCATAAATCTCTGTTAAAAACATTGGTTTCTCTTTCCATTTACTTTCCAACTGTCCAATGAAAAGTGTAGGACACTAGACACATAAAATTCAGCTACAAAGGCAAGATAACGCTACAATATGATCTTGTGATTTTAAAGGCTTTTAAGTATCATGGTAAAAAGGGGATTGAAATGGCTTCTAAACAAATACAACCTTGTTTTTCTTTTGCAGCACTCACTAATTAACTAAATCTGATGCTAGATATCAATTTAAATACTTTGCATTCCATTACACAAATGCAACATAATTCCATTTAGTATACACTATTCAAAAACATTGTGCATCATTTTTTTATAAAGGAAGAATTATTACATAATTTCACAATCAGTCTATTTTGGTTTATTTTGGTATTTTTTTAACATATTTTTATTGATTTCAGAGAAGAAGGGAGAGAGGGTGAGAGAGAAACATCAATGGTGAGAGAGAATCAATGATCCGCTGCCTCCTGCACGCCCAACACTGAAGATCAAGCCCACAACCTGGGCATGTGCCCTGGCTGGGAATTGAAAGGCAACCTCCGGGTTCTTAGGTCAACACTCAACCACTGAGCCACGCCAGCCAGGCATATTTCAGTATTTTTTAACATAAATTAGTCTAAGTGGAATCATTACACTACTTATAAAGATATTATTCAAATGATAAGAATAAAAATCACTAAAGTAAACACTTTTTCATAACTTTGCCATACCTTTAGCTAAAGCTTCTGTATATTTCTCTTTGGCAGAATTCATTTCTTTTATTAATTGTCTATAGCTGGATTTTAATTTCTCTAATTCCGTCTTTGTAACCTGTCAAAAAAAGAAATTTAAAAAAATTAAAACATAAATTTACATGATCAAGAACTTAAATTCCAATGTGTACCTTACTGCTTATAGGTCAGAGTTGCTCTTTAATACACAATTACAGACAATAAATTAAAAATTACTGGGGGAGGGGGTGGTCAATCAGGGAAAAAGGAGACATATGTAATACAATTTTTAAAAAATTACTTTAGCCCTGGCCCTGGCCAGATGGCTCAGTTGGTTGGAGAGTCATCCCTTACACCAAATAGGTTTCAGGTTCGACTCCCAGTCAGAGCACAAAGGGCACACACCTAGGTTTCAGATTCGATCCCCATTGAGGGTGTGAACGGGAGGCAACTGATGGATGTTACTCTCTCACATCAATTTCTCTCTCTCTCCTCTCTCTCTCTCTCCCTCTCTCTCTCTTTATTTCTCTCTTTCTTTCTCTTTCAAATTAATTTTTAAAAATATCCTCAGGTGAGGACAAAAAAAAAAATTTTTAGCTCTGGCCAGGTGACTCAGTTGGTTGGAGCATCATCCTGTATACCAAAAGGGTGCAGGTTTGATTCCCTGTCATATCTAGGCTGCAGGTTCAATCCCTGGGCATGGTATGTACAGGAGGCAACCAATCCATGTTTCTCTCTCTCAATGATGTTTCTCTTACTTTCTTTCCCTCTCCTTCTCTCTCTCTCTCTCTCTCTCTCTCTCTCTCTCTCTCTCTCTCTCTCTCTCTCTCTAAGTCAAGAAAAACATATCCTCAGGTGAAGTCTAAGAGTTTCTTTGTTGATTCTCTTTAATTTCCTGCAATAGACAATCATGTCATCTGTGAACAAAGGCAGCTATATTTCTTTGTTCCCAATCTGTATACCTTTTATTTATTTTTCTTGTCTTACTGTATTAGCTAATAACTTCCAATATAATGTTAAGAAGCAGTGGTAAGAAGGAACATTCTTGCCTTGTTCCTGATCTTCATAAGAAAGCTAAGATTTTCTCACCATTAAGTATGATGTTAGCTGTAGGTTTTTTATAGGTATTCTTTATCAAGTCTAGTAAGAGTTTTTATCATGAATGAGTGTTGAACTTTTTCAAATGCTATTTCTGCATCTATTCATATAATCACCTGGTTTTTCTTTTATTAATCTGTCTATGTGATGGTTTCCAGTCATTGATTTTCAAATGTTGAACCAGTCACATACCTGAAATACACACCAACTGGTCATGGTGTGTAATTCTTATGATACATTGTTGTATTTTATTTCCTAATAATTAAGGATTTTTGTGTTTATGCTCATGGAGATATGAGCCTATAGTTTTCTTTTCTTCTAATATCATGTCTAGTTTTGGAATTAGGGTAATGCCGGTCAAATAGAATGAATTAATCAGTTTCCCTCTATATCTTCTCAAAGAGTTTGTAGAGAATTGGTATAATTTCTTGCTTAAAAGTTTGATAGAATTCACCAGTGAACCCATCTGAACCTAGTGCTTTCTGTTTTGGGAGATTATTAATTATTGATTCAATTACTTTCATAGATATTTGCCTATTCAGATCATCTATTCATTCTCAATTAGGTTTTAGTAGATTGTGTTCTTCAAGGAATTGGCTCATTTCTCTACATTATCAAATTTATAGGCATTGAAGGTTCATAGTATTCCTTCATAAGCCTTTAATATCCACGGGATATGTAGTGATATCCCTCTTTCACTTCTAATATTAGTAATCTTTGCTGCCCTGTGCTTTTGTTAGTTAGCTAGCTAGAGGCTTCCTAATTGTATTTATCTTTTCAACAAACCAGTTATTTTGTTGAGTTTTCTCTACTGATTTCCTGTTTTCACTTTCATGGATTTCTGCTCTAATTTTTATTATTTCTTTTCTTCTGCTTACTCTGGATTCAATTTCCTCTTCTTTTTCTACTGTCCTATGGTAGAAGATTAAATTATTGCTTTTAGAACTTTCTTCTTTTCTAATATATGCTATACATTTCTATACATTTTTCTCTGTCTCTTCCAACTATGTGTTTTTGCCTTTTGGTAGGCCTTACCATTTTTTCTTGGTTGACAAGCACGATGTTTTAGATAAAAGGAACTGATGTAAATAAAGCCTTTACCAATGTGGTGACAAAGATGTCAGGGAGGGGAAGCATGCTATAGTCCCATGACTAGGTCTCAGTTTTTTACTAAGCCTGTGCCCCTCAACTGTGAACATTACACGTGTTTCTCAGTCCCCAGCCCCCCTTTCAGGAGACATGATGGCTAGAGTGCGCCAAAGTTGTGTATTTCCCTTCCCCCAGGTTGTTAAGCTCTGGTTAAACAGTTTCTCATAAGGGCAAATCTTGTTAAGAAGACCAGAATACTCTGGCATATGGCGAAATGGTTTCTTTTCTCCTCCCCTAGCCAGGACCATGAGACTTTTCTCCAATGTTCACTGTGAGAACCTGGAAGAGATCCAGGAGGTAAAACTCAAAAAAGTATGGGGGCCACTCAACGACTGGGTCCTCCTGAAGTTTTTAATTGTCACAGTTGTCCACACTGAGACTCCAGGACTTGTCAATTACCATTCAGGTTTTTCTGCACCCAGCACTGGTTCCCAAGGAGGCTCTGATAGGTTGTGATTTGCTATATTGGCTTAGCAGTCTACTTAATTTCGGCAACAGCTGTTTGCCCTGTGACTTCACTTCTCTTATACACCTAAGAAGAGTTGTTCATTTTTTAAATTTTTTCAGCCTTTTACTTATTGTTTGAATGAAGTGGCAACCTCCAAACTTCTTATGTGCTCGACCAGGAATTAGAAGCCTTAACTTTTGAAGTTGTAAAGAACCAATTCATTATTTTGCAAACTGGCAAATTAATAGCAAAAAGCAAGCATTTATCCTGCCTTCCTCTTTTAAACTATACCTCAGAGTAACCAAATAGTTGATCTAGGGAAAGTCTTAATTGAAAAATTCCAGCTAACAATTGCATCAGGAATAATAGAAGAAAAATCTTGCCATTATGCAAACCCCACTGAAGTAACAGATTAATCATTGAACATGAATTGTTTCTAAAACTATTAGATGAAAAGCGGAAGGGAAACTTTATTAACAGATTGATCAGGCTGGCAAAACTGGAACCCATTAGTCATATTTAACAACACAAAATGATAAACAAGCAGACACAGACATTATATACCTCTGAAATAAAACAAGAGAAAGTCTATACCAGCACCTATGATGTGTACTTGTCCAAAATAAACAGCAAAAATCTTATCAAATCTCTAGATCTAACTTACAGTTTTACAGGAAAATTAGCAGATGAAGGAATATGTGAAATCACGTCACAAGATGCTAACAACAAAATCCAAAATAAAGGAAATTCAATTCTATAAGGCAAAATTACCCAGTTTCTCCCACAAATAAATGACATTTTAAAGAGGGGGGAGGACAATCTACATTAAAGAGAATTATTCAAATGTAATGTAATGGCCTGTTTGGATCCTAATTTAAATGAACCAATCACAAAAAGCATTTAAACAACAATCATTTGAACACACAATATTTAATAACATTAGGAATTATTGTTCAATTTTTAGGTAGGTTAGTAATAATATAATTGTGTCTTACAAAAAAGAGTATGTATTTTAGCAATACATAAGAAAATATTTATGAATAAAATGATATCTGGAATTTTCTTTAAAATGACCCAATACAGAAGAAAAAGTAGGTGAGAATATAGATGGGGGGGAAAAAATTTAATATGTGGGTGAAAGGATGGATGGGAGTTCATTTTACTATTCTCTCCTCTTTTGTACATTTGGAAATTTTCATAATTAAAACACTGTAAAAGTTATCCAGAAAAGAAACACTCTGAATGTAGAGAAATTTAGAAATATCCTAATCTATTTTCCTTATATTTTCATTTTTCTTTTATGATTAGTGTTACACGATAAAATTTTTTTAAAGCCTTAAAGGAGTTATTTCCATAAGTAAAAAATTAAAGTTCTAAGTGATAAAAAAGCATTGTATCATAGTTTAACTGGTGGTATTTTTTCTTTTGTAGGAGTACATAAAGTAACAGTATATCTTATAATCAATAATATCTTATATTAAAAAAATAAGATATTATTTACTAGAGACACCAAAACTTATTTCTAGTCAGGAAACAATTTTTAAAAGTCAAACAGGATAAAATATTTCAGTGCATTTAAAGACTAGTTAAAGGAAAATTTGAGAAAGACAAACCTTGATCATCTCTGCCTCTATCTGCTGATGAACAGCTATATAACTTTTCTTCACCTGCTGCTTGTCTTTGATCATCATGGTGAGCTTGTGTAAGGGTCCAGAATTTAGGTCCTCTGCATGTGTCTTCATTATCCTACTAAGTTGTTCTGTCTGCTGAATCATAAGTAGCCAAGACTTTTAAAAACATAAAGAAATAAAATTAGGGTGTACTAGAAGTTTGCATTTAGCTGTACTTTAATTGTCTAAAAAGCTTAAACATTTAGTGTTACACACATGATTACATTAAGATAAAAATAGTAGGTTTCTGGCATCTGCAATAAGCTATGAATGGTTCATATTTAACATCTTCAACTTCAAGTCCTAATGCTTCAACTGTGTGTAATCAGAGACTATGCAGAATACTAGGAAAGGGACTAAGGGACTCAGAACCCACACTTGCATTCTTCTGTTTTTCTCTTTTTATTTTTCTTTTTTTTTAATCTTCACCCAGGGATATTTTTCCATTGATTTTTAGAGAGAGTAGAAAAGAGAGGGAAAGACAGAGAGAAATATCGATGTGAAAGAAACACATCAATTGGTTGCTCCTGCACACGCCCTGACCAGGCCCAGGCTGGGAGATGCCTGCAACTGAGGTACGTGCCCTTGACTGGAATCGAACCCAGGACCCTTCAGTCCACAGGCCAAAGCTCTATCCGATGAGCCAAACCGGCTAGGGCTTCTGTTGGTTTTTCAACACACTGATACATTGTTTCTGCTCACACCATTCTAATTCCTCACAAAGGCCACTACTTCCTGATGCAACAGAATTTTCCCATCTTTATTCAAAGCCTGTCTCTCTCTGGCATCAGATCTTGCTGACTCTTCTATTTTGGCTCATATGAGTTCTTATCTTCCCACATACAAACTTGCTTCCTCCCTTCCTAAAAATGCTTTCCCAGTCCTTCTACCTGTTCATCTTTGCTGCTTATGTCTTAAATACAGGCAGTCTCTGGATTTCTAGCTTAGTCATTCTCTTCTGTTAGTAGTTCTCAATGATTTTCCAGCACAGCATTTTGCCTCAATAGCAGAGACACAAAATGATGGAAAAGACAAGTCATGTTATTAGAATTTCTAATTTATAAATACTGAAAAAAGTAACAGAGGAATGCTCATTATAGGTCTCCTATTCAGAAACAATAATTGGAGATTTACCACAGTCAGGGAAAATCCATGTTAAAGATACAAAAAATGGACAAGAAACAAAATCTCACACATATGTCGAAGCAAGTTCTTCACTGATACTGCTCCTAGGGCATTAGAAACTAAAGAGACAATAAACAAATGGGACTACATCAAAATAAAAAGCTTCTGCACAGCAAAAGAAACCATCAACAAAACAACAAGAAAGCCCACTGCATGGGAGAACATATTTGCCAATGTTATCACTGATAAAGGTTTAATCTCCAACATTTATAGGGAACTCATACAACTTAACAAAAGGAAGATAAACAATCCAATCAAAAAATGGGCAAAGGACCTAAATAGACACTTTTCAAAATAGAACATTCAGAAAGCCAAGAGACATATGAAAACATGCTCAAAGTCACTAATCATCCAAGAGATGCATATCAAAACAACAATTAGATACCATCTCACACCTGTCAGAATGGCTATCATCAACAAATCAACAAACGACAAGTGCTGGAGAGGATGTGGAGAAAAAGGAACACTTGTGCACTGCTGGTGGGAATGCAGACAGGTGCAGCCACTATGGAAGACAGTATGGAGTTTCCTCAAAAAGTTAAAAATGGAACTCCCATTTGACCCTGTGATCCCACTTCTAGGAATATATCCCAAGAAACCAGAAACACCAATAAGAAAGGATATATGCACCCATATGTTCATAGCAGCACAATTCACCATAGCGAAATCTGAAAACAGCCTAAGTGCCCATCAGCAGATGAATGGATTAGAAAACTGTGGAATATCTACACAATGGAATACTATGCTGCTGTAAAAAAGAAGGAATTCTTACCATTTGCAATAGCATGGATGGAAGTGGAAAGCATTATGCTAAGTGAAATAAGCCAGTCAATGAAAGAAAAATACCACATGATCTCACTCACTTATGGATAATAAAGGCCATTATAAACTGATGAACGAAAATAGATACAGAGGAAGAGCAGCATCGAACAGACTGTCAAACTACAGCAGAGAAATCAACCAAAGGACTTGTATGCATACATATAAGCATAACCAATGGACACAAGACACTGGGGGATAGGGGAGGCTGGGGAAATGTCAAGGGGGGGGGGGGGGAAGGAGACATATGTAATACTCTTTGTAATACTTTAAGCAATAAAAAAAATGAACAAGACATGCTTTTAGATATTTATAAAACTATTTCTCTACTTTAATACTTTTAATCTTTGAATGAATAGATTTATTCTTTTTCTGTTAATATTCTAATACAATCCTAAATCAAAATTGTAGCCTAAAGAAAGCAAATTCTTGGTCACAGTCAAAACTGTCACGGTCTGAGTTGATAATCTTGTTTTAAATACACTTCCATATTCATTTCTCAAAATAAATAAATAAACCTTGTATAGGGAGGAAGGCCTTTTTAGTTTGTTAAATGCTACTAAGAACATGGAATAAGACCTGTGGCCTATGAACACATATTTATACCACAAAGTTTTTTTGTTTTTTTTTAATTTATTTTTTTAATTGCTTAAAGTATTACAAAGGGTATTACATATGTGTCTTTTTTTCCCCCGCCCTTGACTATCCCCTGGCCTCCCCCACCCCCCAGCGTCCCATGTCCATTGGTTATGCATATATGCATGCATACAAGTCCTTCGGTTGATCTCTTATACCCCTCCCTCCTGCCCCCCAACTTTCCCCAGCCTTCCCGCTGCAGTTTGACAATCTGTTTGAGGCAGCTCTGCCTCTGTATCTATTACTGTTCAAAAGTTTATAATGGTCTCTATTATCCATGAATGAGTGAGATCATGTGGTATTTTTCCTTCATTGACTGGCTTATTTCACTTAGCATAATGCTTTCCACTTCCATCCATGCCGTTGCAAATGGTAGGAGTTCCTTCTTTTTTACAGCAGCATAGTATTCCATCGTGTAGATGTACCACAGTTTTCTAATCCATTCATCTACTGATGGGCACTTAGGCTGTTTCCAGATCTTAGCTATGGTGAATTGTGCTGCTATGAACATAGGGGTGCATCTATCCTTTCTGATTGGTGTTTCTGGTTTCCTGGGATATATTCCTAGAAGTGGGATCACAGGGTCAAATGGTAGTTCCATTAGTAGTTTTTTGAGGAATCTCCATACTGTCTTCCATAGTGGCTGCACCAGTCTGCATTCCCACCAGCAGTGCACAAGTGTTCCTTTTTCTCCACATCCTCTCCAGCACTTGTCGTTTGTTGATTTGTTGATGATAGCCAGTCTGACAGGTGTGAGATGATACCTCATTGTTGTTTTGATTTGCATCTCTCAGATGATTAGTGACTTTGAGCATGTTTTCATATGTCTCTTGGCTTTCTGAATGTCCTCTTTTGAAAGGTGTCTATTTAGGTCCTTTGCCCATTTTTTGATTGGATTGTTTATCTTCCTTTTGTTAAGTTGTATGAGTTCCCTATAAATTTTGGAGATTAGGCCCTTATCAGATATGACATTGGCAAATATGTTTTCCCACACAGTGGGTTTTCTTGTTGTTTTGTTGATGGTTTCTTTTGCTGTGCAGAAGCTTTTTATTTTGAAGTAGTCCCATTTGTTCATTTTCTCTTTAGTTTCAAGTGCCCTAGGAGCTGTATCAGTGAAGAAATTGCTTCGGCATATGTCTGAGATTTTGTTGCCTTTGGATTCCTCTAGAATTTTTATGGTTTCCTGTCGTACATTTAAGTCCTTTATCCATTTTGAGTTTATTTTTGTGTATGGTGTAAGTTGGTGGTCTAGTTTCATTTTCTTGCATATATCTGTCCAATTTTCCCAACACCATTTATTGAAGAGACTATCCTGGCTCCATTGTATGTTCTTGCCTCCTTTGTCAAATATTAACTGAGCATATTGGTTCGGGCCAATTTCTGGGCTCTCTATTCTATTCCATTGATCTATATGTCTGTTCTTGTGCCAGTACCAGGCAGTTTTGAGAACAGTGGCTTTGTAATACAGCTTGATATCTGGTATTGAGATCCCACCTACTTTGTTCTTTCTCAGGATTGCTGCAGCTATTCGGGGTCTTTTTTTATTCCAGATGAATTTTTGGAGAGTTCGTTCTAGATCTGTGAAGTATGCTGTTGGTATTTTAATGGGAAGTGCGTTGAATTTATAGATTGCTTTGGGTAGTATGGACATTTTAATGATGTTGATCCTACCAATCCATGAACACGGAATGTTCTTCCATTTGTTTATGTCTTCCTCTATCCCTTTTTTCAACGTCCTGTAGTTTTCTGAGTAGAGGTCTTTTACCTCTTTAGTTAAGTTTATTCCTAGGTAGCTTAATTTCTTTGGTGCGATGGTAAATGGGATTGTTTTTGTAATCTCTCTTTCTGAAAGTTCACTATTGGTGTATAGAAATGCCTCGGATTTCTTGGGGTTAATTTTGTATCCTCAATTATAACAAACATGAAAACAAATTTTAAAACTACACAAAAATGAATTAAAAACAAACTAAATGGCCCTAATAAGTCTTGCAGGTTTACCTTTTTCACATGATATTTTCATTCTAAAAAATACAATGTTGGAAAAACATTCTACAGCATGGGGATAATGTTAAGGTTACAAAAAAAAAAAAGTGAGAGGAACCAGTTCTTTCTCTATCTTCAAAATATAAATAATCTCTAGTGCTTCATACAATACATTTTTGTGGTTCTATGTAGATGTTTTAGCGTAGGAAGAAGCCTTTTTAGAAGCCAGCATTAAAGACCACAGAACTAGAGCAAATGTCCTCCTGCTCCCAGAAGGGCACATCCTATGCTACCTAACAGTTCACTGCAGTCACTATAGGAAGTCTAAGCCTCCCAAGGTATATATTATCACTCTGCCTGTCAATCCCATATTGTCCTCAATATCTCCTAATCTGACCCAGGACACTATCTATCGAATCCTATACCCTCAAGAACTCCTGATCTATGATGAAATAACTCTCTATACCTTTTATCAGAACTTTCCATTTACCCTC